CAATCTTCCAGGCATTTGATAAGCTGGAATACATGTTTGCCGCAGAGAACGACATCCACATATTCTCTGATCACCGTAACTTGCTATTTGTGTACAATCCTACCGCAATTGAGCCAGCACTCGGACGCCACATCCTGAACAAGGTACAACGTTGGGCTCTATACCTGTCTAGGTTCATGTATACAATAGAGCACATAGCAGGAGAACGGAATGTCATGGCAGACATAATGACAAGATGGTTTGCTGGTTATAGAGCGAAGCAACACTCCATCAAGCGCATAACCCATGCACTCATGGCGCAGGACATGGTTGGCTCACCGCAGGCCGTGGACTTTGAGTGGCCAAATGCGGACATGATCTCCAAGGCTCAAGAGGATACGATAATTGAGAAGCCCAAGGATTCATATACTGAAGAAGATGGAATAATCCAGCTGAAAGGGAAGAATTGGATTCCGGACGATGCAGTGGAATTGCAGATGAAACTGCTGGTTGTAGCGCACTGTGGAGCAGCAGGTCACCGTGGAGCTGAGGCAACATTGAGTGCACTGAAGGAGACATTTCACTGGCGTGATATGGCTCAAGATTGCAAGGAGTTTACCAAGTGCTGCATCCACTGTCTCGCTGCCAAAGGAGGACTGAAGATACCTAGACCGCTATCAATGACGTTCCATGGATCGAAGCCTAACGAAGTTATACACTTCGACTACCTCTATATGGGGCCCGGCATAGACGACCTTAAGTACATCTTGGTAATTAGAGACGATCTATCTTCATACCTCTGGCTGTGCCCAACCAAGGCAGCAAATGCGGAGAACGCCGCGACTGAGCTTGCGAGATGGATACGGGTATTCACTGTCATGCAGTACTGGGTTTCTGATCAAGCAGCCCATTTCAAGAATCAAGTCATGATGCATCTGGCAGGAGAACATCGTATTCAACACAAATTCACAGTTGCCTATTCACTATGGGTTAACGGCACTGTTGAGAACTGCATGAAGCATATCATGGGAGCCTGTCGTGCCATTCAGTCTGAGCTCAAGTTGGGTCCCCAAGACTGGCCATTAGTAGCCGGTGCTATTATGACAGCTCTAAATGAAGCACCTCTCAAGCGACTGGGGACCCAAGAAGATGGAACCTATCGTACCCCACTAGAAGTGATGACTGGTCTAAAGCCGTTGAGGACTCAGTTAGAAATCGGCGGCGTGGGAAGCAGCTCATCCAAGAAGGCCAACATAGAGCAGGCTCGTGCTTTGCAGCTGCTGAACATTGAGGACCTGCAGAAGGTTTTTGACTCGATGCACAAAAACGTGAGTGAGAGAGTAAATGCTAACCGGAAGAAGCAGATAACACAACATAACAAGAAAACAAATCTGATATCAACTCGGTTCCAAGTTGGGGACTTCGTTGTCGTTCGTCGTGCACAGGTGAAGGGCCACAAGATGTCTTTCCGCTGGGTGGGGCCGCGACGTTTCACGAGAGTGCTGAGCGAAGTTGTATACGAAGTAACTGGTCTCGCAGGTAGCAAGACTGAAAGTGTTCACGCCTCGAGGTTGTTGCTGTATCGCACCAGACATGACGGTCAAGAGGTGTCAGAGGACCTTCTCGAGCATGCTAAGCACACTGAAACGAAATTCGATATGGTTGATCAACTATTGAACATAGAGGAAGGAGATCAAGGAATCCTTGTTCAAGTGCAGTGGCTTGGACAACCGGACAAGTGCGATTGGACGTGGCAACCGCTCGCAGAGCTCTATGAGGATGTACCTGAGCGCCTACTGGAGTTCTTTAACATGTCAAGGAAGACGAAGCTTGTCGCGAAGGCTAAAGCAGCGTTCGGCATCACAGAGAACTAATGCACCCGTTTATCGACATCGCACACGGATGCATGGGGCCCTATAGACGTACGTGGCGACTATCGTCACAACTCGTCTTCTGTGCTGGTCGATTGTGGGAGTAGTGCTATCAATATGATATATTGATTGGTGATTCCTGCTGCATCCTTCTGAGTCAAGCTCCGTCGACTTTAGTCTTTGTCAACCTCCCTTATTAGTTCCTGTTATTCTTTACAAGTCCAAATTTACCTACCGCCCTACATCCCCTATACGTAATGCCACACTTCATTGCTAGTAAGAAAAAAACCATCATTGAACCTGTTCAACACCAAGGAGTCTACGAGGGTTTACATTTCGTCTTCTTAACAGGCTGAGGTGGGCCGTTTGGAGAGGATCGCTTTTGAGAAGCTTCTTCTTGTCTCTCTTCTGCGATTGCTTTGGCTGCGTATGTAGCAGATCTCGTGGTGCTTTGATCCGTTGATGGACTCTTGGTAGATGAAGTGATAGGGGCGTCCATGAGGCAAACCGGTACGACCCGTGCAGTATGAGACTCGTTTGTGTTGAGGAAAGAGCGGAAACCCCACTTCGTTTTCCGTCAAGACGGGTCGATCCGGCATTGCTGTGATCAGGCGGATGTAAAACTGGTGGAAAACTCACATGCCCGAGTTTTTGGTATGCTATGAGTTTTGCCAAAGGCGTTGTTTGAAATTTTTGCGTTCATATAAAATCCGAGCAAACTCGCCGCCAAAACACATGTTTTCGTCACTTTACGGACAACCTTGGTACATGCCGTACATTGCGGCTCTTCAAAAGAGTTGCCAGTGTTTATCCTGGCTTCTGAATGCTGAGCTGTTCTCATCATCGGTGGTTATGAGATATTGTTGCCTGTGAATTACAGTAACACAAAAAAGCTACGGTACCATCAGTACTCTGTTGTAGAGCAGAGCAGTCTCTTAAATTAAGACCAATGAGCCTACCGTAGGATGTCGTGACTGTTTCTTCACGTGTCCAGTGTCCATTTCTATTTCAAGGCGCTACATTCTTGGCATACTCTATTATACTTTCATTGAGCGTCCACATGAAAATACACAGCACGAGTGTACGGTGTCTCGCTCTCCAGCGAAAGGCTCCTTTCTGTATTGCAAATCGCGAGGGAAATCTGCGCTGCTGTACCCTCTTTGATACAGTAATGCACATACATTTTCATTATTGATTCACTTCATGCGGTGTCATCAGGAGAGAAGCTCGACACAGAATCGTCTCATTTAAAAGCGTACTCCATGAAATGCTTATAAGGATGAAGAGTACGGCGTTACAAGTTAGAAGCTGTCTGAGACTTCCAACATCTTCGAATCGTTCAAGAGCGGAAAGACCTGCCTGCAAGTATGGGTCGCCTCCAATTTATCTTTGCTCGCAACTCAATACTTTTTGTTGTGATTCACATGCTCCTCAAGTATGGGCACGCTCAAACCATGACATTTGGTCGTTGCCAATCGAATGCCGACTGTTTCGAATCCCTTGAATGCAAAGATGCTCTCTCGTCGGATCAAACGCAAGGTTGCGATAGCGATGGGGTGTACTGTGTTTGCTTTCCACATTTCTTTGACGACATCTTTTGTCGCACGCAAGAAGACTGCAATGACAATGAGACATGTTTGTTACTTCCTTTAGAGATTACCCAAAAGTTCTCACTTCCTGAAGGGCTGCAAGTATGTCTAGACAATTCTCAAGTTCCATACATTGGAGATCCCAGGATATGTGAAGATGATGAGCAGTGCGGATCAAATGGTGTCTGCATAAATTTTTTTTCAACATCCGTTTGCCTAGATGGACAGCCGTCATCAATTTCCGAAGAAAATTTGTTGGCATCAAGCACGATAGAAGCAGAAATTTCACCAAGTAGTGCAAGTAGTGATGAGGATTCTGCTGCATGTATCGCAATGCAGCATCTTGATGGAATGCCGCTACATATGCTAACGTATAATCCTCATTTGAAAGCCGCTGTACTATGTGACGCACAAAAAAGCTGCGCCACAGGGGGTCATATGGTGCGTTTTCATGGCCGAGCCATGATGATGCAAAGCTATTGTGAACTCGTTGGTTGTGTTGAGGCTCTCATGTTTGTCAATAATCCGCGATATATTCGAAACGCTCAACTCCCATCACGGACAGATGGACTGACATTTACAACACTCGCAGCACGTTACAACTCTGTCATAGAGGAAAACTTACTGAGAGCTGCAGTATACGTGGGACTATGAAAGTCTCAAGATCCTTCAAACTGTACACCTCTATTTTAATAGAAGCATTGCTGACAAATTTTCAAGCATTTCTACAGTACAAGAGCAGAACGCGAATAAATTGTAGTGCGCTCAAGAAGCTCTTCATAAACTGCTGAAGTATCTTCTGGTTCAACATTTCATGTGTTGTCTCCTCCCACGATGTGCTGCAAATTGGCCCAACTGACGGCAATATCTGCGGTTCGTTTCTTTTTTTCTGACCACTTCGACTAAGTGTGTTCGGAAGCACGCCATGTGCCTGGTTTTAAGCATCTACGACTGTGGCTGCAGTTTGAAGCACAGATGAGTTAATTTGAGGGGATATTGCTGTTGTTACACAGACGTAAAATTAAATGAGAGGTCTGCAAACGACAGCCCTCTTGCGTCTGACCTGCTTACGGCACGTCAGTGATTTCCGCTTGCGAACGGCAAATGGAGTTTGCCGATCGCGGACGCGCGATGCGGCGGGAAGTGGGAAACGCCCACTGGGTCGAGCAGTACCTGCTCGAAGGCAAGCGCAACGGCGTTTGGTGAAAGGACAATGTTTAGTCGTGAGACGAGATGATGATTCGATGATGATCTCTACATTCTGTCCGTTGCTGGGTGATAATTTATATTACTGCTCGCATACGCGCGCGAGGCCGCTGCGGTTTCCCTCCGGCAGCGGAGGCGTGCCAAATTATCCGAGTCTCTCTTGCGTCTCCCTGTTGACATATGACTCCTTAGATTATTCGAGAACCTCTCTTGCCGATTTCTTGGCGAAGCGGAACTTTGCCCTTCTGAGAAAGTCTCCTTACAACAACAATTGCACGTGTTGTGCATTTGACGCTTCAAAACCAGATGCTTTCAGTGTTTAACTAGTAAGTACATGTGCTCTTTCTCTCTGCAGCTATAGATTTTCTTCGGCTTGCATATTGACCCCTGGTAACCCAATCGGCGGTGGTACACTTTCCAAATCCCAATCTTGATGATCATGCTTGTCTAATTCAATATCTACAAAGGTTTTGGACTTGTCTCTTGTCACAACTGTCTCCCTGCGGGTAATGCATAGATCATCTTGCAAATCACCAACAAAAACAGAAAGGTAGAGCGGGTTATTTTTAGGGAAGAGCTTTCTTCTCAAATTCCATCTATTGAACTTTCCAGAAATCTTTGGTTCTCGCTCCACTTCATCTTTCCACTGAGTTTCCTTCTCTCGACACCAACGTTTTGCCAGGGCTCTTTCGCCAAAAACGTGTTTCGGCATGTTCTTCCAGTTTGCTATTGAGTTCAGCACGCAACCCATGGAACCCAAAACGATAGAGCATGCCAATAACATTACAAGGGCCCATTTCTCAACCGAAACATGGACAATGGTAAGAACTTTTGCATTAGGGATGGATTGATTGTGGCTAGGAGCGTTGTAGGGGATGAAAACATCCTTGCAGTTGCTATGTAGTGCTGCATATCTCTGTACAGAGCGCTCATCAGGGTTGAACACGGATCCAAGAAGCAATGCTCTTGCTTCCGATGCGAAGGGGACACTGCTGTCGATTCCTTTGCTGTAATTAGCGACAACACGGCCAACGGAGCAAGCAACGAGAACATTCCATGGCCTCGACGTCAAGGAGTCTGCATCTTCTGTGAGCAGCCCATATCCTGACACAAAAACGAAATAGGAATCCGATGATAAGCAGAATTTGATCTCAGCTTTTGTTTGACCTTCTCCTACTCGACCGTAAACTTGCCCATAACATCTGATCTTCATTTTTGTCGAATCGAGCACAGAAATTATCAATGGACCTGTCAAATAAGTATCTGCACCGATTGTGATCTTCTGCAACCCGTGAATATGCTCAGGGAGAACCTGTATTGCAACGACAGCTCGATATTTATCCCCATTCGCTCCAAATGACGAAGCTTTAAGGGCATCGGTAAAGTGTCTAGCTTCAGGGACCAAATCTTTCTGATGGTATATGAGCTTTCCCTCCGTCAAGATATTGTCCTGTGCTCTGACGCACAAGGGTCTCCGATCGTCACTTTCCGTTTTTTCCCACTCATACCGGAAAAACTTGTACCGATTCTTTTCATAGTCAATGTCAATGCAGCTGTCTGCAAGATTGATCATGTGAGAAAGTGCTGTGCGGTGAGTGACCTCTTCCACAGAACATGCCTTTTGAGTGGCATTGATGACGTGGACAACCCCAGGAGCCGAAACTGTTCGT